CAGGAGCACAGACAGGAGCAGTTCTCTCTGTGCCCAGGATGATGTGACCCTTTTGTGGGTATTTATAGAGATCTGAAACGTTAGGAAACAAAACTTCCAGAACACGGCCACACAGCCCGGAAGACCCACACCAGCCAAACTTAGATTTGTTGCGAGTCTGTGAAGGTTAGAGAAAAGGGAAGGATGTCATAGAGCTGAATGAAGGTGCTCTGATTGTAGAGCTGATGAATATATGGTATAAATTTACTTCTGAATGAAATGGCTAAAATGTACTATATGTCAAAAAGTATGAATTGGTGTAATTTAAGTTATTTTGGTGCAAATGAATCTAAGAATCTATAGGTTGGAGATAGTTCCACTGAATGATTGTAATGGAGGAATCCAAGATCAGTTCTGGGAAGAATTGAGAAATATTCTGAATGAATACAGTCCAGAGGGGAAGGGGGATGTTCTTCTATGTGACATGAATGGATGGGTGGGAATGAGACAAGGGTACAGAAAAAGTGATTGGGCTATTCTGATATTCAAGAATGAATGAGAATAGTGACTGTTAAGTTCTGCTTAGAAAAAGGTGGTTACTTTCAAATATCTGGTTGAAGCCTGAGTCTATTCATACATATGGTAATGAAATTAATAAAGACATGATTCATGAGAAAAAATTGAGTAAGTAAAATTAAGTAAAATGAATGAAGCTACTATTAGTCTTCACCCAGACCATAACTTGAACACCAGCCGGCAGAAATTCAAGGACACAGCTGCTTTATAAGGTAATTTTTAACAGATACTAGAAAATCTGTATTAATAGAAGAAATCAGAAAGCTCCAAGAATATGCCTTATATAAAGCAGTCTTGAAGTTCAAACTTAAATAAACTGTTAAAACTCGTTCAAACTGTATATAAATCTTACAAATAAATAAAACAAGAATTTTTAAAAAACAAAAAAATGAGTGAAATGTATGTACAGTATATATATGGGTTAGCCATGCAGAGAGTATGAAAGAGGATGACATCACAAAACAAATGGGTCAAGAGGAAGGGGAAGATCAAACCGATGAGATTCTCAGAAAGAGATGAGAAGTAGACAGAACAAAAAGGAATGAATGAACCAGTATATAGACATAGCTGAAGCAAGAATGGTTTGCAAAACTGGAAAGTATGGAGAGGTATAAGATTTGTATAAACTAATTTTAACTGTTTTCTTTTCTTATGCCTCTTAGTTCTTTGACTTACTATTTTTTATTCTTTTTTCTGCTCTGAATAAACATTTCTTACTTCCAAAGGGAAGAACGTGATGGGTAAGTATGTAATATAGTAGAGAAGAGCATGGATGTTCAGAAGACTGTTTTCAAGACTCTTGCTTAAACTATGAAAAACTCAAGGCACGATTCTCTCATTAACAGTAGGCCCCCAAACTGGAAGCAGATTGGAGATGAGTCAGAGCAGATATTCAGTCAAAAGCCTCTAAGCTACACTAGCTTTTGGTTCATTTATTAAAACACACAAACATGGTCAAAAAAAGCTGGTAAAATCACCTCCACATCTTCCTCTTCCATCCCCCCCAACTAATAAAATCTGAAAGGATTTTGAAAATGGTGGAGAACCTAACTTTGGTCTGCAAAAAAATTGTTTTGTAAAATCTGGGTAACAATCTGGAACAGAAATCCTATTCCTAATCATTCATGCCTTGTTACACTGAATATGCTTGTGTGAAAGAGTACCACACTGCTCTCATGTGATTAGCTATCCACATCAGTATTTTCTTCTAAGCCAACCAATTCAATACTTCAAATTGGGCTTCCAAAATTTACTTTTCAAAATGTGCCTTTCACATGGGCCTTTTGTTTACAAGGAAGAGGCAAACAATAAAAGTCTCCTCATGATCTAGATCTAGCCACAGGTGCTGGCAAAATATGTAGAACAATAGATGGGAAACTGGGCTCAGAGATAGAATTACCACACACAAGTTGGCCCTTAACTCTCCATCTGAAATAAATGGGACTTGCCGGTACCTCCATGTGCCAAGGTTGTTAGTCACAAAAATATCTTAGCCACCTTGGATGGGTAGACTGGATGGAATCCTCGGAAAGCTTTCTTATGCTAAGAATATATTACTTGCACCATATTCAAGTCTGGAAGGGAAGGAGGAAAGGCATTATGTATCCTGGTTTTCATACATACCTTGGGACAACCAGCCACAATGAGAGATGTGAGTCTGCGACAATTGAATGACAAATATTTTAATGTAATATTTGATAAGTGCCGGCAATAAGAGAAATCAATGTAGTCTAGTTTTTTCAAATCAACACACAATGCCTGGAACATAAGTTACAAAGATATATGATTTATATGTATTTATATTTATTATCTACAGAACTTATCAATTATGTT